AAAGAGCTTCACAGACAAGAAAAAGCTAAAGGAGTTCATCACCACCAAACCAGTATTATATGAAATGCTGAATGGTACTCTCTAAGAAGAGGAAGAAGAAAAGGGTAAAGAGAAAAAATTATGGACAACAAATACATATCTATCAACAAGTGAACCTAAAAATCAAATGAATAAAAAACCTGATGAACAGAACAGACTGGTGAATGTAATAGAATCAAGGGCATGGAAAGGGAGTAGACTGACAATTCTCGGGGGGAAGGTGTTGTGGGGGGTACGGGAAAAGATTGGACAAAGAGCTTACACCTATGGATGAGGTCGTGTGGGGGAGAGGCCTGGAGTGGGGTTGGAACTGAGTGGAGGGGAGTTACATGGGGGCGGGGGAGGGAGGGAAGAGGAACATCTGTAATAATCTGAACAATAAAGATTTAAAAAAAAAGTACATATTGCTATAACATATGTCTGCTATTTTGCTGCCTGTGGAGTCTTGTAGGATTTCTGTGGTTTCCCGTCTTACATTTAAGTCCTTTAGCCATTTTGAGTTTGTTTTTGTGTATGGTGTAAGTTGGTGATCTAGTTTCATTTTTTTGCATGTATCTGACCAAATTTCCCAGCACTATTTATTGAAGAGACTGTCTTGGCTCCATTGTATGCTCTTGCCTCCTTTGTCAAATATTAATTGAGCATAATGGCTTGGGTCAATTTCTGGGTTCTCTGTTCTGTTCCATTGGTCTATATGTCTGTTCTAGTGCCAGTACCAGGCAGTTTTAAGAACCGTGGCTTGGTAATATAGATTGATATGTGGTATTGGGATTCCTCCAACTTTGTTCTTCTTTCTCAGGATTGCTGTGGCTATTCGGGGTCTTTTTTGACTCCCCATGAATTTTTGGAGAGTTTGTTCTAGATCTTTGAAATATGCCATTGGTATTTTAATGGGGAGTGCATTGAATCTGCAGATTCTTTGGGTAGTATGGACATTTTAATGACGTGCCTTTCCCCCCGCCTTTTCTGAAGTAAACATTCATTGCATATTTTTATTCTGAAGGGTCCAATCTTCCTTCATCTTACGGAAACTGTATTCTCTAATTTTTTGTTACTTCTTTCCCTTCCATTATTTCTACTTTCTACTGAAATCCCTATTTATCTTCATATTATTATCCACACCATGACTCTACCCAAACCATTCTTTCTATTTCCTTCTTTTAAAATCCCTGTACAATGGATGCTAGATTCCTTTGGTCTCATCCTCACTCTATTAACATATCTCTCTTTTTGTTCTGTGTTCTGGGAGAACTCCATAACTTTATATTCCAGATCACTAACTAGTACTCAGCTCTATTTATCCTTCTTTTACCCTATTTATTTATTTTTAATTATATTTTAAATTTCTAAGAACTTTTTCTTCTAGCTGTTCATTTATTTGGCAGCCAGTCTTGTCTTATAACACAATATCGCGTGCCCATCTGCGTGCACCCCGCCCACCTGCCCACCACTCTGCCGCATCCACCCACCACTCTGCCGCATCCGCCCACCACCACACTCACAGCTGTGCCCTCCTCACCATGCCCTGCCTGCCCACTGGCTGCCAGCCTTGCTGTGATCGGAACCTGTCGGCTGCGGGGGAGGGCCCAGGAGTTGTTCCATGCACCTCATGGTGACCGGTTGTTTGGTCGTTTTGGTCGTGACGCCTCTTGGCCTTTTATTATTATGATGGCCTCTGGAACCTCCCTGAAGATACTAATATACATTTTGTTTTTAACATTTTTAAAAATTTCTTTCATATCTCTCTTCTCTGGGATTCAGCTGTTTGCTTTGCTTACCTTGATGTTTCTTTTTATGCAATGCACTTTGCTCGAAATTCTTCTGATCTTGTGTTATAGGTTGATATGTATAAATGAAAGACTAGGATAGTTAGTGTTTGTAGATGTGCCTCTTCTATATACAGAAGTGTGTTCCCCTGTGGCCTGTCTCTGGAAAGGGAAGGCTGCCCACAGCTCTGTGGGAGAAGTGGGTGGGGCATGCAGGAAGGCAGCTGCCTTCAGGGGGCAGGGAGCAGGCAGACAGGCTGGGGGCTCCCACAGTTGCCAGAGAAAAGCCTTCATCTGGGTGGTGGACACTTTTCTGGGCGGTGACTTTGCTTCCGCACCCTCCCTGCCCTGTGGGCTGCGGCGGCTCTGCACTGCCTCCCTCCCAGATGCCACACCACCATTTAAGTTCTCGCTGAACAGTACTTACCCTTTATTTATAGAACAGTTTCTATTTGTTTAACCTTTCCTCCAGGAAAGAACAAAAACAAGTCTTTTAAAAGTCATCTGGCATGAAGGCCTTTCACAATCTCACTCTGCAGAGAGGCTCCTCACATTAGTGATGGAGCTGTGGATTTTCTCCCCACATAGGGGGAATGGCCAACTGGCCCCCGTGCAAACGCCCCACCTGGGCCCGCAGCTACTGCTGCATGTATCCCACTGTATTATAATAATTTGTAAAATCTACTCCCCACCACATCCCGACACTGATGATAAGCCCTGGGAGGCAAGATTCTACTCCCCCGATTCCCCAATCCCTAGCACATGGCCAACAAAACACAAAACAAAAACCAGCTTCCATTGAGTTTTTGCTGTGTGCCAAGCCGATGCGCTTTATCTGCATAATGTGATTTGTGTCACTAACACTCACAGGCTCCAAGAGAAGACATTA